TTTTTTTTTTGGCTTTAAACATGAGTATGATTTTATCAGAAACTATAGCTTTCGTGATTTCGAGAAAATGGCGAACAAGATATTTGCTCGTAGATACTACAGTGCTGGGTGCCTTCCTGTTACATTCATGGAAAAAGAATTTTGGCATGAAATAGCTTGTGGAAAGACTGAAAGTGTTGAATATGCATGTGATGTTGATGGCAGTGCATTTTCATCCTCTTCTGATGATCCTCTTGGAAAAAGCAGATGGAATTTGAAGGTGCTGGTTTTATTTAAAAAAAATCACTTCTTAATTATGATGGAATTTTGTAGTTAACCCTTTTATGGTTCTTTTTAGGTGTTCTTAATAGTTTTAAGAAAATATACACTTCGGTTAATTTTTTATTGATCCTCGTAAGCTTTTGTCCATGAATTTTTATTGACAGTCTTTATGGTCTACATGCTGTACTTTCCTTAGTTGTATTTTAAAGTTTTACTTTGTGGATTAATTATATCTACTTTATTCTTGTAGTACTTTAAAATATGGGTTTTGAGTTTTCAGAGCTATGTGAGTGCTCTTGGTAGTGATGTCTTCACTGTTTGAGTTCAATAGTTATTCAATTCCAGGCTCTGCTTTTTGTTGTTAATTGATCTCCATCTCCATCAACGGACTATTTTTATCATGTCACTTCGTCGGTTGTTTTCCCGTTGTTTTATTTCCTAAACGTTCTTATGTTGTGGAAATATGTGTAATATTTTTTTTCTACATGTGTTTTAATGCAGAATCTTTCTCGGTTGCCTAAATCTGTTTTGCGCCTTCTTGAAAGATCAATCCCGGTACTGAGTTGATTCTATTGTGGCAACAACTTCTTTAACTTTTATTTCACAGCTGTTTAGATCAATATTTGGCCTTTTACAGGGTGTCACCGAACCTATGCTTTACATTGGAATGCTGTTTAGCATGTTTGCCTGGCATGTGGAAGACCATTACCTATATAGGTGTGGGCCTTTATTCCTGATATTGAAAATCTATCACTGTTTTGTTATGGTCCGTTCATCATTTGCTAATTCATGGGTCCTGCGTACATATGCAGCATCAATTATCATCACTGTGGGGCAGCAAAAACTTGGTATGGCATTCCTGGTCACGGAGCCCTCGATTTTGAGAGGGTGGTCAGAGAGCATGTTTATACACGTGAAATCTTATCAGCTGATGGGGAGGATGGAGCTTTTGATGTTCTTTTAGGGAAGACAACATTGTTTCCACCAAATGTGCTGTTAGAACATAACGTTCCTATTTACAAAGCTGTGCAGAAGCCTGGGGAATATGTTGTAACTTTTCCTCGAGCTTATCATGCTGGATTTAGTCATGGTATGTCATTTTCCCCTGAAGGTTGAGTATCGTCTTTTCTATGAATTGGTATTGGTTTATTAAAATATTGTTTCTATGTGGGGGATCTTCCTCGTGTTCTACTACCTTAAATTTTGATAAACTCTCTCTCTCTCTCTCTCTCTCTCTCTCTCTCTCTCTCTCCTCTCTCTCTCTCTCCAGGTTTTAATTGTGGTGAAGCTGTTAACTTTGCACTTGGTGACTGGTTTCCCTTGGGTTCAGTTGCTAGTCGGCGTTATGCTGTCCTTAACAGGATGCCTCTCCTTCCTCAGGAGGAGCTCCTGTGTAAAGAGGCAATGTTGCTCCATAAAAGTCCGGGACATAAAGAACTTGATGATTTATATGCGGATTTGATATCTCACAACAGCATTAAGGCTTCTTTTGTAAGTTTGATACGCTTTCAGCATCATGTCCGGTGGTGTCTGATGAAATCAGGACAATGCACAGCTGTTTCTTCATTTTCACACGGAACAATCCTCTGCAGCCTCTGCAAACGTGATTGTTATGTAGCCTACCTGAATTGCAAGTGTTACCTGCATCCATTATGCCTTCGCCATGGTATAACAAATTTAATGAATTCCATTTTCATTTTCTTGCCTCTTGATGAATTTTCATTACTCTTTTCATGCTGCATTTTTTTTTTTTGTTTTTTGTTTTTGTTTTTTTAATTTGTGTTCATCTCTTGTCCTCTGTATCAGATTTAAAATCACTTGATTTGGCTTGTGGAGGCATTTCATCAATAGCCGTCCGGGAAGATATATTGGATCTAGAAGCAGTGGCAAGGCAGTTTGAGCAGGAGGAGAGCATATTACGGGAGGTTGAACAACAATATAGATATGATGATGACTTTCTTTTGTTAATTAGGACATTCCCAGGAGTTGCGAATGAAGGTTATGTTCCTTATTGTGAGATGTCAATTGGATTAAATGAGGAAAGCTTCCTAAGACATGGCCAGTTGAACCATCCGCCAACTCGTCCTCCCTTGTGCAATGGAACTGTAACTTCTCGGCCTGGAATTTGTCACGATTTTGAATCAAGCACCGAACATGTTAGTTCTCAGACTAATACCAATGAAGAAACCGAGGATTCTGATTCAGAAATATTCCGCGTCAAACGAAGATCTTCTTCCACAGTGAAACACAAGATTGCGCGCAATTCGTTTTCTGTGATAACTGAACCACAGGTACATGTTTTTTTTTTTTTGTTGACTTTGTAGCAGCAAATTTTCGTGGATCGATATCATCACATCCCAGTTGAAACAGGGTCATATGTATACCAGAAGCATCTAACAAATCTCTTTCTGTTCAGGGCTTTAAGCGACTCAAGAAGCATCTGCCGGAAGCACGCAGTGCCCGGTTAACTCACCAGCTGTGTTCATCTGCTGACGATTCAAGTCGTAGTTCGAGTTCGAATTCATTCGAATTTAAAGTAGCCCCAGCTGGTGCCTCATCGGGTAGGGGAATTGGTAGTATTCCCATCTCCATCAAGCTAAAGAAGCAGACGGTAATAAACGAGAAACTCATCTTAGGCAAACACGGAAAATCCTCCCACATCGAGATTGCGCCCAAACGCCTCAAAGTCAGAGGGCCATCTGCTTTAGGATATGACACAAGGCCTAACTGAATTAGTGTTTACACGCTGTGGGGGAGTTTTTGAAATTGGACGGATCTGCCCCTGGAGCCTTCTACTCGACGTTTTTAGCTAACAAACACAAATATTTGCTTTAGGTGGGAAAAATCTGACTACATGAGGATGCTAGAAGTTTCTATTTCTTGGGAGCAGCTGACGAGATTCTACATTCTAACTCAATCATCATGCTTTATTCTTTTGTGCGGGCCCGGCTCAAATTGACGTGGCTCTGCACACGTGACAGTTGTTATAGTTCTCTAGTCGGGGTTGTTTTTCAGTCTTTGGCTGGGGAATCTCTCGTTTTCCACGCCTGCGAGTTTATCGATAAATTTAGTAGATTATGTTCTAGTTTCTTATTCAGGCTGTACATTTTGCTCCTCTAACGGTTGATTGATTCATTCCCTTACCCTACGGTTCTCGTTAATGTTTAAGTCTGCTGCTTTCACCTTTGGTTAGATTTGATCATTCTTTCTTGTAGCTACTTGGCTTACTGGGACTGGAAGTACATTAATAAAAGTTTTCTTGAATTCCTTTGTTTTCCTTTTGTGGTAAGATTGCGTGCTTTCGAGAAGTGTCGTATATTACAACGTTTCAAAACATAATTAGAGAAGAGAAACAACCGAATGAGTTACGTACGATGATAGCCAGGGCTTTTAAGGTCGTAGAATTAATATAACTGAAAAAACTCGATCTGTTATCAGCCGTGCGGACAGGAAAAGAAAACTCAGAGACCCTCTGATGCATGGGCTTGGGAAGGTTGCAGATTTTCATAAATAGTGTCGATTGATGGCATTGATTGTGGGCTCAGTGGTCTTCCAATGGGCCGACATAATCTTAATGAAGGTGGTCTTCTGGTCCAACAAACAACCTCTACCGGTAAAAGCATCTTCAACGATGAAACATTGTCCATTTTGTGTCGTATGGCGCGGAGAAGGAGATTAAAAACTTGTGTTGCTAATAGTTAATGTTAATTGTGGTATCATTTGTGATGTGTAAAATTGTAATTGGTTAGAGAAGAATGATAAATTGAATAAATAATATAATATGTAATAGAATTGTTTAGAATGATTTGTACATCTAGAAAGGCTTCTAGACATTTTCATACGAAATAAGAATATTAATTGTGCTATGTGCAACAAAATAGAGCAATGAGAAGGCAATTAGAGATGCTCTAAGACTTGAGAAAGTGCCTCCCGACATTGCAAGTAGGTAAAAATGTAATTATTAAAGTTGATTTGATATAAAATAATATATTAAGAAATAATATTGAGCGCTAGAAATATGTTCTGGATGATTGGTGTATTTTGCTGAAAAAATATTTAATAATAATTATTTAATTATTTTTTGATGTTGTTAATGAGATTCTAAAGAAATGTAATTGGATGATTAATACGTGTTGCTGAAAAATACATAATATTTTTATTTTTTAATTTTAATTAGTGAGATGGTAAAAAAAAGTCGTCGAAATTAAATAGTTATTTATCTTATTTTTAATATGAATGGGATAACCTTTGAAGAAATAACAATACAAAATTCTCATTCAATCGCCTTGTATTAAGACGGGAAGACGATTAATATGCATATATAACATATTAAATACTTGTATGTTTTTAACATTATTGGATACTTCTTGACGTACTTCGTTTTGTCTGTTTGCGTGCTAAATTTATCATTATTACTAAAATTATAGTTTTTATTTTTTTATTTATTTATTGTTTTTTTTATCTGTAAATGTTTATATGCTTGTTTTATCACCACATATTGATATTTAATAGAAAATACACAATTTATAAATATATATATATATTTTAGGGAAATGTTTTTAATATGTTTATTTATAAACTTCTTCATATTTAGTATAGATTACCGATTACGTAAATCTTGATAAAACGTATAACATATTGCCTTAAAACTATTTCGGCTTAAATGAGGGAGATGTTACTGTGTTTGTTATGGAATCATTCTATCAGGATTTGAAACCGTTAGATCAATTATCCTTGATGAATACATGATAATCTAACGATTACAAACCAAACGGAATGATTTCGTAACTGTGGAGTCAAAAAGGGCTGCTGCAGATATGCTAACGAAGGTGGTGACCATTGACAAACTGAAGTTGTGCTCAACTTCAGTTGGTCTGCTAGAGTAACAAGATCAGAGAAGACTACTGCAGTAATTGATGTGTGAGGACAGATTGAAATCAGTCCTCAAGTGGGAGATTGTGGAGTCAAAAAGGGTTGTTGCCCACTCTTTTAGATAGTTGCAAAAGAAAGAAAAACGCAGCACAATTTTGTGGAAAAAAATGCAGAGATATGATCACCTTTTTGGAAAATTGGATGCATATTTCCTCTATAAATAGAGGAGCAAACTTCAGAGGAAATCACAACAGAAAAAAATACAGAGAGCAAGAGAGAAAAAGAGAGGGAGCAGTTTTAGCTTTTGTGTGTATTTTTGAGTTGTGAGTTGTGAGTGAGTTTGCGAGTGTTTTGTAAACACGAGTGTTTTCTTTTCTCCTAATAAAATATCAGCAGTAGTCCGGAGACGTAGGCATTATTGGTCGAACTCCGTTATCAAATTGGTGTGTCCAATTTTTTATTTTTTATTTCACTTTTATAGATTCGACTTCATGGAAATTTCAGCGTATTTTTCCCAACAACTAGTATCAGAGCCAGATTGTTAATTCTGTATTTTTTTGTGTGGGTTACTATTCCATGAATAGTGAAAAAACAGGAATAGTGTTAAATTTGTCGGCGCTACAAATTTATCTACCGACGTGTTCTGAAACACGATAGTTCACAAAAATTTACAGAAACGATCCGGCAGAGAAGTCAGATCAGAGACGAAGTGATGGCTGCAGACGAAGGAAAAATGAAAATTGAAAAGTTCGATGGTGCGGACTTTGGCTTCTGGAAGATGCAGATCGAGGATTATCTGTACCAGAAGAATATGTATCAACCACTCACGGGAAAGAAGCCAGAAGACATGAAGGAGGAAGAATGGAGTCTCCTTGACAGACAGGCCCTTGGAGCCATTCGGCTGACGTTATCCCGTAATGTTGCTTTTAACATTGCGAAAGAAAAGACGACAGCAGGCCTCATGAAGGCTCTTTCAAACATGTACGAGAAACCATCAGCCTCAAACAAAGTTCATTTGATGAGGCGATTGTTCAACTTGCGTATGACCTAAGGTGCTTCGATGGCACATCATCTCAATGAGCTCAACACAGTTACAACCCAGTTGAGTTCAGTTGAGATCAAGTTCGATGATGAAGTATGGGCTTTAATACTTTTGTCTTCCTTACCATAAAGTTGGAATGCTACGGTCACAGCTGTGAGTAGCTCATCGGGAAGCAATAAGTTGAGATTTGATGATGTCCAAAATTTGGTTCTCAGTGAAGAGATCCGGCGGAGGGAGTCGGGTGAACCATCAACCTCTTCTGTATTGCATACAGAATCGAGAGGAAGAAGTTCAACCAAAGAAAGCAGACATATCAAATCAAAGGGAAGAAGGTCCAGGTCCAGAAATCATCGTAGTTCCCAAAACTCGAAGTCGATCGAGTGCTGGAATTGTGGGAAGATCGGGCACTACAGAAATCAGTGCAAGAGTGCACTGAAGGGTCAGGAGACAAAAAAAGAGGCAAATATTACCTCAGTCTCAGGAGGAGACACGCTGATATGTTCTTTGGAGAACAGAGAAGAGTCATGGGTGTTAGACTCTGGAGCATCCTTTCATCTACCTCACAGAAGGAACTATTCGAGAATTATGTTCCTGGAAATCAAGGTAAAGTTTACCTTGGTAATGAGCAATCATGTGAGGTTGTCGGCAAAGGTGCAGTAAAAATCAAGTTGAACGGGTCTGTTTGGGAATTGAAAAATGTCAGACATATTCCCGACCTAACGAAGAATTTAATCTCCGTGGGCCAGCTAGTCAGTGAAGGCTACACGACAATCTTCCATGGTGATGATTGGAAGATTTCAAAGGGTGCGATGACAATTGCTCGAGGCAAAAAGAGTGGTACTCTTTACAAGACCACAAGAGCATGTCATCTTATTGCAGTTGCAACAAATGAAAGTCCCAATCTATGGCACCAAAGACTTGGGCATATGAGTGAAAAAGGGATGAAGATCATTCACTCAAAAGGAAAATTACCAAGCCTCCAGTCAATAGAAATTGACATGTGTGAAGGCTGTATACTTGGAAAGCAGAAGAGAGTCAGCTTTCAGACAAGTAGAAGAACCCCAAAGAAGGAGAAGCTTGAGCTCGTTCACTCTGATGTTTGGGGTCCAGCGATTGTCCCATCCGTTGGTGGGAAGCAATACTTCGTGACTTTTATCGATGATCAGTCCAGAAAGGTATGGGTTTACTTTCTGAAACACAAGTCAGAAGTATTTGAAGCTTTCAAGATTTGGAAAGCTATGGTGGAAAATGAGACAGGCTTGAAGATCAAGAAGCTCAGATCCGACAATGGTGGTGAATACGTAACCACCAGATTCAAGAAGTTTTGCTATGAGCACGGGATCAGAATGGATAGAATCGTGCCTGGTACGCCTCAACACAATGGTGTAGCTGAGCGTATGAATCGAACGTTGACTGAAAGAGCCAGAAGCTTGCGTGTGCAGTTAGGCCTACCAAAGCAGTTATGGGCAGAAGCAGTCAACACAGCAACTTACTTGATCAACCGAAGTCCATCGGTACCATTGGATCACAAGTTACCAAAAGATGTATGGAGCAGAAAAGAAGTAAAACTCTCACATCTTAGAGTTTTTGGGTGTGTAGCATACGTGCACATCAGTGATCAAGGTAGAAACAAACTTGATCCAAAATCTAGGAAATGTACTTTCCTTGGTTATGGTGAAGATGAGTTTGGCTACCGCTTATGGGATGATGAAAGCAAAAAGATGATCCGCAGCAGAGATGTCATCTTTAATGAAAGAGTGATGTACAAGGACCGGCATAACACAAGTGCCAGCAACTCAGAAGCGAGTGGGCCAGTT